CCAGGACAGAAGGACATACAAGATACACCCCACCCACCTTAACATAGTGTGTGGCTGAGTGCTAAAGACGCTATAATGTACCTTCTGAGTGTAACTATAAACTTGAAGGAACTCATAAATAAACCTGTGGTGTAATTATATTGTTACTAACTGTTCTAGAATGTTTTGAATTGGTTTATGATGTACACGCGCGCACACGTGTATGGGTACCTTAATAACACAGGTAAACGATATGATTCATAAATTTAATTCATTAGTGTATCTCTCTCTGTTTAGAATTATTTATTTGATAATGTAGATGCTGGGTTGTGTAGAGGCAGGGAAACACCACATCAAGTAGCAGTGTGTCCGTGACAGAATGGACAGAATCTTTATTTGATCTTCATTCCGGCCGCCAGAGATTTTAGCAGGAAATATCTCTACTGTTGAGGATTTTTATTTCCAAAGGTTGTCATTTTTATACTTAAAACACATTAGAGGTTTTAATAAAATGAATTGTGAAAGGTGACTGGCAAATATAATATACAATGCTGTAACTATTAAGACTCAAATTTATTCAGCAACTGTAGAATACAATCACACAGTCATTACCTAACATAGAAAACGTGATAATATTGGCAGGATATTCTGTACGTACTAGTAAGTGGGAATATAATAGTCAAGTGGGAGGTTCTCGGATGGGATCTCGTAAGTGCACTCACTTTTACAGGTGACTCAGGAGAATTAACGGGTTGGTGTGAACAAGGACAACTTGAGAAACAGGACGGACACCGTTCAACACCCTGCTCAGCTTGGGCCAAAATTATATTTGTTGGTGAGACTAGATAAGCATCCTATATATATATATATATATATATATATATATATATATATATATATATATATATATATATATATATATATATATATATATATATATATATATATATATATATATATATATATATATATATATATATATATATATATATATATATATATATATATATATTGTGGGTTCGAGTCCTGGCGGGATGAGGTTGTTGATTATATGTAGAAGTCCGCACGCTTTACGAGCTAATGAAATATGTATGGAACCTCGTGTTTCGAAGCCAGATTTGGTAAAATGTTACTCTGATCACCTAAAAGACACGGGTAGTCCCCAATTGGAGGTTCACGGCGCCATAATCTTGATGAACAGGCTTTGTGTGAAATATAACAAAGTCTAGGATTGCTTTTAGTGTCCTGGTGGTCTAGAGGTAACGTTCCCCAGTCATGCACATAAGATTGTGGATTCGAGTCCTGGCGGGGTGAGGTTGTTGATTATATATATATATATATATATATATATATATATATATATATATATATATATATATATATATATATATATATATATATATATATATATATATATATAATTAACGGTTTATTGAAAAAGTCAGCAGCCCGAAGGCTGAAAATATTACATACAAAGACATGGGGCGGGTGGGTCGTTTAACAAAGCTTTCATTACTGAAAGAAAAAGGAACAATGACTGAACATACAAATTATTATAGTTTACAGTTGATGGCCCGGGCCTGGACTGGTCATGGAGATACCAGGTGGTGTGGTGTTCACGTGGTGCAGTAACTCGTCCTCGGGTATTGATATGAAGGACCTCACGTGGTCATGGGGACACCGGGTGGTGTGGGGTGGTGTCACAGTACCCCACCCTACTGGGTGGTGTTGTGTTACTTCGTAGTCAGTTGTGAAGCCGACCCACTGTTGTTCCCAGGGTGGACTGATTAGCGCCTCCTTGTCAGAAGATGGCGGTCAGTTCCCAGGGGTGCTTATCTCACTGGTGGGTTACGGTTCTCACTGGTACTGTCTAGTGCTGAATTCACTGGCTTAAACACTGTTCATCACTGGCTTAAACACTGTTCATCACTGTTCAACACTGGTCCCACTTCTTTCTGAAACGAAATTTTCACTTTTGATTATGTTGATATCCCGGTGGTGAGGATGGGTCGGGGAGAGGGACTTGGGAAATGGGCCAACATTGGCCAAGGGGGACCGCTGCTCACAGGAGAAGCGCCTGAATAGGTCTTGACCTTGACAAGACATTTAGGATTTTGTATTAATGAAAGTAAATTTGAAGTGAAACCCCCATAGGTTTTTGTAATCATTTATTCACAGATTTCTACAGTGTGACCCCTCTTTGTTACAACCTAAAGGAAATGTTCAAAGTTTCTCCCTTCTGCATCAATGTAGGCCTGTACACGTCGTACCATTGATTGTCTGACGCGTTCCAGAATGCCTGGACTATGTTTAATTTGCTCGCACCTGTCACGAACATGTAGGCATATGCAGAAACTGACATTTTACCATAGAGACAGTGTGGTTTAGAATTATCCAAGGATTTCTTCCTCCAATTTAATGTACTCTTTGCTGAATCACCCTGTATATATATATATATATATATATATATATATATATATATATACTGTATATGACTAACCCGCGGGCGAAATTGATTGAAAACAATTATAAAAACGCCGGATTTTCTTTGTTATATTATAGTGGAAATAGGTTAAAAAACGGACATTTTTAAAATAAACGCTACCTAATCATTTGTGGTTATGAAGAACAGACCTAACCAAACCAAACAAACCTACCTCACCTTACCTAACTTCCCCAGTATATTAAACAAAAACTTACAATGATATGGTGAAATTTGAGACATTTCTGGACGTGAGACGATAAGGCTGCATCGGCGCTATGCAGGGAAATCTACATTCAAACACATATATTTATATTTTTTGGACTTGGTACATGAAACGAAAATACTCCTTGATAAACCCTGCAACGTGTATAAAGTGATACACAATTCCTTTCGAGTGTTTACATAAATAAATTGGAAATGAACTTGCAAATTGGGAGATAAAGTCAGCCCATGGTAACTAAAGTCATGCAAATCACTGGTCATCTTGGAACGAATCCAGGAAAAAAAAGTCACATAAAAAGGCACGGAAAAAAACCTAACCTAACTTAACTAGATAATGACGAAAACTACGATGTTATTTACTTAGACTTAAGCAAAGCATTTGACAGAGTACCGCATCAGAGGCTTCTGAGAAAAATTAAGGCTCACGGTATCGAGGGGAAAGTTTTAAATTGGATAAAATCATGGCTCACCGATAGAATGCAGAGGGTCAGTGTAGATGGTGTTAAATATGAGTGGGGCCGTGTAACCAGTGGGGTTCCCCAGGGGTCAGTACTAGGCCCACTCTTGTTCATAATCTACATAAACTATCTAGATACTGGGATCAGCAGTGACATAAGCAAGTTTGCGGATGACACCAAAATAGGGCGGCAGATATTCAGGGCAGGATGCAAATGCATTACAGAGGATCTAAATAAACTGCAGGGGTGGTTCTGAAAAATGGCAAATGAAATTCAACACCAGCAAGTGCAGCGATACTTAATATTGGAAGAACAAATACTGACAATGTATACAGCCTTAACAACATCAACCTAGAGAAGTCGACTTGTGAAAGAGACCTAGGGGTACTTGTAAGCCCGGACCTACGGCCTAGAAAACAGTGCGTTAATGTTCGAAATATGGCAAACAGAGTTTTGGGTTTTATATCTAGAAGTGTAAGTAACAAGAGTGCAGAGGTCTTATTGCAACTACATCTTGCGCTAGTCAGGCCGCACCTCGATTATGCTGTTCAGTTCTGGTGCCCCTATTATAGAATGGACATCAATTCACTAGAGTCGGTGCAGCGAAGAATGACGAAACTGATTCCGGGACTTAGAAACCTTCCATATCAGGATAGGCTAAAGAAACTTAACTTGCATTTCCTAGAAAGACGAAGAGTGCGGGGAGATATGATAGAAGTATTTAAGTGGGTGAAAGGAATCAATAAAGGGGATATAAATAAAGTTCTTATAATATCCGAGCAGGATAGGACTCGAAACAACGGATTTAAGTTGGATAAGTTTAGGTTTAGGAGGGAGATAGGAAGAAACTGGTTCACAAATAGGGTGGTGGACGAGAGGAACAAGCTTAGCAACTTTGTAGTAAGTGCTGGAACTCTGGAAAGTTTAAAAAGGAAGTTAGATAGATTCATGGATGATAGAGAGAGGTAGTAACTCTCGACAGGAGCTGCCATGCACAGGCCAACCGGCCTATTGCAGACTCCTTATTTTCTTATGTTCTAACTTAACCTAACCTACGTGCAATGCCATCATATATATATATATATATATATATATATATATATATATATATATATATATATATATATATATATATATATATATATATACATTCTTCAACCTCAAGGGTCAAAAAATTCGCGAGCATAACAGCAACACTGGGGCAAAAATTACTGATATTTGAAATATAAAAGTCCATTTTATTGTACTAAAACAAACTCGAAAATACGCGATTTTGTTTTAGTGTCATAATATCCAAAAGGAACATACTTAAGTGACGTTTATATAGCACAACATTAGGCTGTGGTTAGCTAGGCCGTGATGGGCTGGTCAGTGGACATGGGTCCGTGTTCAGCCAGGCAGGGTATAGATGCACGGGCTCCACCAGTTCCCTCCTGACACTCTTGTTCTTCTATTTTCTTAAAAGGAATACTTCTTTCAGTATTGTTTAATAAATTACTTTATGTCAGTATATTGTTTTTTGTATTTAATCCTTCTTTAAAAAATCCTACTTCGGCGACATCCTGTCTGGGCAAGTAAATTTACTGAAAAAATGTACAGAAAAGGAGCTATTAACTTAGTAGTTATTATTTATTAACATATTTTAAAGTGCATATTTAAGTGTTTACTGCATATTTGCATGCATATTTAGCCATTTCTAAATGAATAATTATCCTAAGCTTACATATCATACTCCCACAGTGATAACTGACGTCAGAGTCATCTAGTGATAAGAACGGCAGTCGCTTTCACCAAGGCATTGCCAAGTTCCAAACGTCATGCATGTACATACAGCTTCACCTCATGTTAAAAAGCTGTACAGTTTACAAACAAAATAATATTGTGGTCCTAAGTTCCCAACTATTCATATAAACCCACCACCTATGTGCACCGTACTCATACATTGTCATTGTCTATATTCATGCTGAAATGTAAAACTGCATAGTTTATAAACATGATTATCCAATTGTAAAAATGCATGATAACTTTGCTGAATAATTATTGTTATTATTATTAATTCCACACTTCATAATTTGTAAAGCTTCAGAGTTACACGAGAGGTCAGCTGATTCCCATGATGTGTACTCCCAGCTGATACTGTTAATGATAATAAGAGAGTAAACAGCTGATAGCTTAGGTACAAAAGGGATGCTACCAGCTGACAGTGTATAAGAGAAGAGCATCTGCTGGCACTGAGGGTAGCAGAACCTTACCTTACTGTAATGCATCACAATTTAGTCTTGTTGTGCCTAGTGGGGGTGACCACCGTGCTGGGGTGGAGGCAAGGAGGCAGTGGGTTCATGTACCCACCTAAACGACCAGAAGGTGTACAGCTTCCTCCTGACCAATGGTACACTCAAAGCCTCAACCACTTCAACCCTTCAGATACACGAACATGGCAGCAGGTATACAGTACTTTATTACCTATCCATACAGTACTTCTTTGGTTAGATCAGGGTCTATTAAGTTCTATGCATTGCTTTATCACTTTTATTACTTACTGTGGTTAATATTGATAGTAAACCTGTCACCGCATTATTTGTTTTGATGTTTCTATTCTTACTATATTTTCATCGATCAGTTCGAATATGGGTAATATTGCGGTAAACAGCAACCACAGAGTTCCGGAAATTCGTTACACTTAATCGATAGACCTATTTTTTTTATGATCACTTTCTTATATTACATTAGGTTAGGTAACACATATTTTTTATCAGATTCTTTGATTGCTGTAATCTGCAGTTTTACCCGAGTATGATATTCATTTCTTGGGCAAATGCTTCATTTAGTAGAAAATTAGGCCATTAGCAGCACTAATTTGTTTTGCTTGGTGATAAGTCAGTCAGTCGTAGGCTCTGTGTATGTTTATGAGCCGCTCGGTACGGACAACTTCTCTCACGTCCACATAAAAAAAAAGTGTAAAATTACACCATATCGTAGTAAGTTCTTTCTGTTTAATATGTCGGGGGTGGAGTCCTACAGCTAGGAAGTTAGGCAAGGTTAGGTAGGTTTCTTTGGTTTGATTGATGGGGTCTCCTAACAACACTTCTGCCATTTGTTTTTCTTGTCAACTAAGATTAGGTTAGGTTTAATTTTGAAATAAACTCTTTTTAACACATTTTCCTAACTATGACTGTGTTTACTACAAAACTCAGTGAAATTACGGCATTTTTAAATTATTTTTTTATGAAAAATCGGCGATGGGTATGTCATCAATAATTACACTTACTATCTAAAAAAAATCATGAAATCAAACACCTCCTTCTGATTTTAGATGTCTGATCCAGTTTTGCCCAGGATTTTGAGAACATGAACTAGAATGGTTTCATTTGGTGCATTTATGAAATGGCACGATTATAGTGGCCTAGTAGATACAAGTGTGGTAAATACTCCATAGTGACCATGCACGGAACTCGATATTGATTTATATGGTAATAGTGAAGGAGGGAGGTAAAAAGAAAACTAAAGAATAGTTTACAGTACAGTATAGGTATTGCATTTCCATCAGAAATGAAATTTTGATCTCACAAAGTGGGCAGGACTTTGAAGTGTACGGAAAATTGTGGGGTAAAAACACACAGAAAACTGACAAAACCAAACCTAAAGATTCAAATATCAATAAACTGTGTAAGTCTAACCTGAACCTAAACAAACCTCAATATACTGTATGTAGAGTTTCTTGCAAGGTCACTATGGAATAGAGGATTTACCAAATACTGTACTGTAGTGTTTTTATGTGTTTTGTTGTAGTTTTAACAAATATGACCTTTATTGTGGGGCTAATGCTTATTTAATGAGATATAACCATGATTTACACAAAGTGAGCAGGACTTTGAAGATGAGGGAAAATGTGGGGTTAAAATACACAAAAAACACCGTTAGAACCTTAGAGAGATTGGAATTTATTTTCCTGCAAAAATGTGTTTAGTGAACTTAAATTCCGTCAGTATTGTTATATCGTCTTCTTGTCCGCATCACGATCAACAGGCAAACACATTTGGTTGTGTACAAAACCAGGTTCACAGAATCACTTTATACACATCCATTGGATAAATGAGGTAATATTTTGGTTAAAATAGATTATAATACTGTACATACTATTGGTTAAGTTGAATTCTCAAAGGTTCTACTATTGGTGTTTGTTTTTATTTTTTTAACCCCACATTTTCCCTTATCTTCAGAATGCTGCCTTCGTTTTCTCCCTTCTTAATAATAATTATTGTATCAATTGTACCATAATGTAATGAATTGTCATGTAAATTTCTGATTTCTGGTATTCTCTATTTATCTCTTTCATAAACAATGCCCACTAAGATAAGGGCAACAGCCAATGATGGAGATAGTCAGTTAGGCATACCTCTACTGTTCTGTACTGTACTGTAGTGACTTCAATGTCATTACAGTATGGTATATCTTTTAAAATGAATGGACCAGATACAATACTGTGCCTCAACAATGTGTTTGAAAGGTATCAAAGTAATATGTCGTCTTTATAACAAAGTCAATTTTATAAAATTATTATTAGCATAAAATTTGTATTTATCTTTGTGCCAGGAGTTCCTTAATTTTACAAGGCTTGACTCAAATTTGAAAGGCCATTGAAATGAGTAAAGGAATAATAATAAAAAAGATACAATACAGTAGGGCCACAAGCTATTAGGTTTAGTAAAGATGTCTAAGGAGGTGACATCATTTATGGGAGCCCTGTACTCTACTGTACCTGTATTGTACAACAGAAAAGGGGGCCCATTCATGTAAGGATCTATGGGAATTTATTGTTGATTCAGCTGTTTCGGGAACTCCTTTCAGAATGTTTTTTTTATAGTACAGTATGTACAGTACTCTACAAAGATTCTTTAGGATGCCGTATCCACGGTAATCAATTCTCCAAAGCCTGCTTTGTATCCCACACCGTTTCAAGACCAAACTCAGACACACTTTTCCAATTTCACCGTCCATGATCCTGAATAGTTAGAATACTTAAAAAGTATGCCACACTATAGATGCTGATAATAAGAGGATTTAACTTCACATTTGCCACCTTAACAAGCTGATAATAAAGATTTGAATGCCCCTAGGTGTTAGATATTTACCTGACGGCATTTAAGGGAATACTGTACTGTACATACACATTGTAACTACAGTATTAGTACAGTTCAGTTACCACAGAAATGGTCATAAAAACAGATTTCAGGGCCATTACCCCATTTCTGTAGGTACAGTACTGTACAGTACACACAATAATAACTTATGAGAACTTTAAAATTGTATTGAGTTTGCAGATTATTGCTCATATTAATGGAACTTTAAAAATTTCAGAGGTACTTTACCAATGACTCTTTTTATGAGCCTGGAGGACCTGTATTTTTGATGATAGGAGGAGAAGGACCAGCTGATCCAGTATGGATGGTGGAAGGATCTTGGGTTACATATGCCCAGAGTCTTAAAGCTTACATGCTGTTTTTGGAGCATCGCTACTATGGCAAGAGTCATCCTACTGAGTAAGTTTTTTACTCCATTATCAATCATTTACATTATTATCCTCAAAGTTGTCTTCCACATTCTGGCAGGTTTATTCATTTACAATCCCTTCTAAATATCATCTTTTATTGTTGAAATTCGTCTTCCCATATGTACAGTACACCCATACAGTTGTTCAAGGAGAAAAATGTACTGGTACAGGAGGTGGTTTTGTGGGCTGAAAAAATTAAGGTGAGTTCACCAATAATACATACAGTATAGTGTACAGTAATAATTAGTGCCAATACATGTCCCATAATGTGAAGTATTTTATCAAAAACTACATCAATTCAGTCTGCAGATGATACAGTTGTGTATTTTGCACAGATGCTGAAGAGGCATTACAAATTGGTAAACAAGTTAATGGGAAAGGCACAGAATATGGGCTTAAAAGTTTTAAGTTGGCACTACAGATATGAAAGCAAAGATTGTTTTCAAATGAAATATAAATCCTTTATAAAAATTATAATATGCAGCAAGGAACTTACGCAGTGAAAATTTTTGGTGCACAGGTACTGTAATAGGGAAATAATATAGGACATACTGTTTAGTATTGGTATTGTGAAAAAAAAATTACAGCAAGAGGTCAGACAAAAATTAGTCAACAATCTTAATTATTTGTTTAAAACAAATTACAGTAATTTTTATTTAAGACAATTGCTTAAAAATGGAATACACAGTAACATAAGTACAGGTACAGTCTCTCCTCAACTTACAACGGGGTTCGGGACCCAAATCCAGGTCGTAAGTTGAAAATGCAAAAATAATACATATAAAATACAAAATGGGTGTCTCTTTTTCTTCTCAGCACCACAAAACTCTCACTTTTAAGCTTGCCAGCCATTTTAAAGAGAATTACAAACAAAAATTGTGTCAGTACACAGCGCAATCACGAACGTCGAGACTCAAAAATACGTAATTTTAAAAGATTTTGGTACGACTGAGGCGGTCGTATGTCTGGGTGGTCGTAAGTCGAGGAGTAGCTGTATAGTACAGGGCATGGTGACAAATTTTCTGGAAGTTCCAAGAGTTTGCATGATGAACAAGTTCTGAGATGTACATTCCTCTTTGTCTGGAGCCCAGTGACGTCAAACGATGTGGTGGAGGATGTCGCAGAAATTTTTTAATGTTTTTCTTATTCTCTTCAAATATTTATGTTATCAGAGCATATTTTCACAAGCTAATTTTTGCTTCTGAGATCAAGACAGAATAGTTATTAACCCTTAAAATATCAGAATATAATTACAGGCAGTTCCTGGTTTTCGAACATCCGCTGTTACGAACAAGGTTAAACTTTAAATTTACAGTATTTTATTTACCTGATGACCTATTTTTCTTTTATTTACTGTATTTTGTCATTCTGCGTGCATTTCTTCTTTTCTCTTAAATTAAGTGATTTTAGACTGTATATAAGGACTTAGGCTATGATATATTGTAGTGAGATTTTAAAAAAAATTCTGTAAGTATGGTATGCACATAGCATGTGTTTCGACTTACATAAATTTTTGACTTAAGAACGTCCCCAGGAACAGGACTCATTCGCAAACCCAGGGACTGCCTTTACAGTACAATATAGATTAAATACTAAAGAACTGTTTTGCCTTGAAAATTTCCAGGGATGTATCTGTAGAAAATTTGGCATACCTAAGTACTGAACAAGCTCTAGCAGATTTGGCAGCCTTTATTGTGGACATGCAAGAAAGTCTTGGTTTTGAAGATAACAAATGGATTGTATTTGGTGGATCATACTCAGGGTCACTGGCAGCCTGGTTCCGCATGAAGTATCCACATCTAGCACATGGAGCTGTAGCTACAAGTGCTCCTATTGTAGCTCAGGTTAATTTCAAAGGTAAGTTATCCTTAAATGTAACTGTTGTTGTTAAGATGCAAAGCCTCTCTGGTTACGTATACACAGACAGGCTCAGGGTTCTCAGCAGCACCATCCCTCTACATTAATGATTAGTGTATGTTTACTGAGTCACCTGAGGAAATTATACATCCAAAACATGGACATGTACGTCATCACTTTCTACACATAATTTATTCTTCACCATGTTTACTGTGACTTAGATTGGCAGGCAGAATTGTAAAGAATACAGGTACAGGGTATTCCTCGTTTAACGATGGAGACGTGTTAATGGAAAAATAACGTTATGTGAAATCATCGTTAAACGAGGGATAATTAGGAATAAGATCTGTGGAGGTGGCATGTTGCCATTATTACTTGTAATGAAACTAAAAATTGTGGAATAATCATTACAATACTCTCAGGTGGCTTAGAAATAACAAAAATGTAATATTAAACTATAAAATAAGAAAATGAAGAGCATGGGTGAGTACTGTACAGTATGTGTGGCAGACAGGGTTCATACACACCTTCATTCATTTATATTTATTATATAAATTACACACCTGGAAGTCATGAAATTTAATTAGCATTTAGTGTAATTTATAGAAATCAGAGATGTCCAAAAAATACAAAATATAGTAAATCAACTTAACCTCAAATGTTTTGTCAAGTCCACATCAACATTTACTTTTAATTTTTCTCATTAGTACAGTACAAGTACTGTATTAGCATTATTCCTTTGATGTAAATACTGTACCAAACTAAAGAAATTATTTATAGTATGTATTTTTCTAATTGAATTAAATGAAAATATTGCACTAACATTTGATCATAAAAATTTGTTAGCGTGTCTCTGAAAATCCTCATGTACTGTACTTCTATACAGAATACTTAGAGGTGGTTCGTGATTCTCTTGCCACTGTGAGTGAAGACTGTAACACACAAATCAAAGAAGCGCACCGAGAGCTCGACATGTTATTACTTCACCAAATTGGTTGGCGGACCATCACGACAGAATTCAGGTTAATAGTTCCAACCTTTTATGTCTGTCCATGGGTCAATACAAAATGTCATTTTTGTTCATTAACTTAAAAAATTATTTACAGATCAAAACAAAGGTTGGTATGCAATACCATAAGATGGAAACAGTTTGATAAACACCAATACATGAATACGTACAGTTTTATTTCTTGAATTGTGGACCTTCTTTAGCTATATTCCTGTATGGGCATACATTACCTTCAGTAGCTGATAAATGGTCAAATGATAAATTAATAGTTTTTGTACATTAATAAATTTAATTGTATGCATTTGATGCACATACTGGTAATATATTAAGTATTGTTCAGTATACAGGTTGACAATCCCTTATCCGAAATCCTTGGGACCAAAGACATTTCGGATTTTGGAGTTTTTCGGTTTTCAGAATGGTTATTTTTTTTATTTTTTTTTTTATTTTTTATTATGTGTGTGTATTAGCCCACCCGAACCCAGATCACTGACCCACATCAGGGCTTGGGGGGGGCGAAAATATAATAAAAATTATAATAATACAGTAATAATTCATAGGTCTAGGTCGTGTTTCTCACTTTTGAAACTTTTTTCATTCTTGTATTTCTTTATTATTATTATTATTATTTTATTATTACAGTACTATTGTTATTATTATTAATTTTATTATTATTATTATTATTATTATTATTATTATTATTATTGTTATTATTATTATTTTATTTTGGTGTACTTTTATTAAAAATTTTATTTACTATGAATAATTATTATTATTATTATAATTATTATTATTACTATTACATTTCTTCCCCAGGCCCTGATGTGGATCAGTGATCTGTGCCCGGATGGGCTTTCAGAGCTTTTCGGTTTTCGGAATTTCGGATAAAGGGTTGTCAACCTGTATAACCTTTATGAACTTCACATCTGAACTTTCTAAACCCTCAAAACAATGTGATCACTTCCATCAAATAAGTAATTACAGTATGTGTTAGATTAATGCCAGTAAAATCAAACAGTAATGGCAGCTGCATATGTGCAAACCTTAGAATGGTACGGTACAGTGTACTGTATGCAAAATATGGGAGGTAAAAAGTACTGTATTTATGTACACTCAGTAAAAAAAATACCTTACAATTCTTGTGCAAAACAAAATGACACCACAAAGGAAGGTTTTTGATAAAGGCTCATAAGGCATACTGTTGTTCACCAATCAAATGCAACAAACTATTGTAATTTCATAATTTGAATTAAATAACTAAATTAGGCCTACCGTAATAGGTAGGGAATGTCTCACAATCACGCCTACCAACTCTAGCGAGACAACAGAATTGTTCAGTTCCAAATTCATCAGACCCCTCTTGAAAGATACTTTTTTTACCGAGTGTACACGTTATTTTGGTTCTTGTGAAGTCTGTATAAATGACGTATTGCTGGATGTTTACTGTCCATGTAATTGTGGTTTTTTGTTTGTACATAATAGTTTAGTACAGTACAGTTAATATGACATTCAAATGACGGCGGTGGAGTATAGTGGTGCCAGCTATGATGTCTCCTTATTTATCAAAGGCTTAGTTTTCAGTGTGCTGGATACATGCTGAATGCTGACCCTATCAAGCCACCAGGCCTAAGGGACCCAGTTTCACTTTCACTTCAGTATTGCATGAGATTGAATAACATTAAAATGTATTATAAAATCTTTAACATAATTGAAGTTTTCAGTAATACTTTCTCTACTTACAACTTTCTATTCACAGACTCTGCACACCTTTGGATGCACGGATAGCAGATGATGTATCAAATATGTTTTCTTTGCTGGCAGAGAATATTGAAGATGTGGTACAATATAATAAAGACAACCGAGCCTTTGAGGGAGTCAAGGGCACTAACATCACCATTGACACAATATGTGGCATAATGATGAATGAAGATGAAGAGCCTATTGACAGGTATGACACAGAACAACATATTCAAGTTTCTCATAGTTTGACATAATGATTCTTGATTTATTGATTTGTGACTTTACTAACACACTGAAAGTATTCACTGCTAAAGATTGAGTTACAAATATATGCAGTCTAGTATATTTTTTTACTATTCCTAAGGGATAATCAAGTAAATAAGGAAATAATATAGGCACACTTAGCTAACAGGTAAAATCTCATTGATGGCAGATAAAGTGAGTACTGTACTGTACTGTACATCAGTATGCTTTAATTTACTACAGTATATTTATTTAGCAAAACAGAGGATGAGATCTTCAAAACTCTACTGTATTTAATAATCATCAGAGTAATGTGGAGGAGAAAAATAATTTAAAAACATACATCTGTACAGTACTATATTGTTTTTATTACACTAGCAGGTCTATGCATGATATTGTTTCTAAGCTACGCAGTCACACTCACTCACAAAAATTTATTCCTACACTATTGGAAAAAAATCCTTTGTCTGACTTTCTTTAACCTAATTAAGTTTGATAAAATGTTGAGAATTTAGATGTCCAACTCTTGACTCTGACCTGGCTAAACACAATACAAATAATGTTTACATGCTATTTCCATGAACCTATTACAGTGGAGGCACAATAATACACATGGTAGGTACCAGAAGACATCACGAATTATCAAATCGTGAATTATAGTTTAATTTATTAAAATGGAAATACCTGTACAGGTAACTGTCAAAATATGCTCGGAAACCTGAATATCACTGGACAGAGTTAAGCTATCATGACTTTTACCTAGAAAATAGTTACATACATATACAGTACCATTTGACAGTACAGGTACAGTACTGAAACTGTTTCATGCTTAGGTTTTTAAATGCTGATTTTAAAGATAAATTTATGGTTTCCTGAGATTTGCAGTATTAATAAATTTCTTCTAATGTATTACAATATTTTTACTAGATATGCAGACGTCAACTCAATGATTTTGGATGTGTATGGGAAGCCATGTCTAGAGCACACATACCATGCCATGATAGAGGAACTGCAAGCCACCAGTTGGGAAAACAATGAATCTGTTGGGGGTAAGTGTATCAATATATGTGTGTATCCATTACACCATCATCCAGGTATCTCTCTGTCTGCAAATTGAACTACAGTACAGTAATTACCACTAAGCTGTGTCTGATTTTAGCAGAAACAAAGTACAGTAATCTCCCCATTAGCTGGAACAATTGGTACAGAGTGTTTCTGGGTTTGAGAGATTTCCGGGTACAGTATTGATACAAATTCTCTTATCCTCAGAAAAAATTGCACATTTACTGAATTTTTCCAGGCATTGGTGAATGTTTCTGCATCTAAACCACATATCTTGCACTAACACCATTGCTACAGAGGCTTAACTGCAGTCAAATACTACTGTACTGTACAAGTACAGTAGAATAAACTCCCTCTAACTTGGACTCGCTTAATCTGGATCCCCTTGTACACGGCCCAAGGATTTTGAATTATTAAATGATAAATACTCTGTAATAGCTTAGCAAAGAACTGTTAGTTGGCCACATGAGCATCTATGATGATCTGACAAGTACTTGTAGGTAGGCACTTTTGGTTTACTTGGTGGTTGAGGATCAAGTTGATCCCTATTTGGAACTACAGTACTTAGACTTATACACACACATATATAGAAATAACATCATATCCATAATGTGTAGTATTTTAAACACAGTGGAAATGAAGTTAGTGTGCAGTAAGATATCTAGGTTATTTTCTTCATCCTGTAGGTCGAGCGTGGATGTATCAAACGTGTACAGAGTATGGGTTCTATCAGAGTTCAGACTCGGAAAACCAACCATTTGGAGACAAGTTTCCCATTGAGTTCTTCATTAAGCAGTGTGAAGATATCTATGGACCAAAGTAAGTATCATTGCCATTCTATATTACTCTTTATTTATTTATTTTTGCAGTCAGCTGTTTATGGCATCTTCCACTTTGCTTAATGGGTTCCACAAAGTTTTAATAAGTGGCTTTAATATTATTTGACGAGGTGAAAGCTGGAGAGCTGCCTGCAGGTAATCATGGCTAACTCACAGGAGCTTGGAAAATTGCTGTAAAATGTTTATATGATGAATTTGACCTCAAGGCCCTTCATAGTACTTGTTATGTCTTTCATCTCAAATCAACACCATATTTGGCCGTGAATTTCTAAACTTTATTGTAGTAACATTTTACGTGTTATGTAACATTAAAAGTTTCATTATCCACCATGCTTTAGTGACCAGCATTTTTTTTAATACTGTACAGGTATCTGCCTCTACATATGACCAGTTTAATTATTGATGTACAGTCATCCACAAAAGTCCTGTCGCCTCCCCTCCTGAACCTCGAGATTCAGACTCGTCAACCCAAAGCAGTAGACACTGATGCATTATTCTGCCCATAAATGATTCGAATTTATGAGTCTGAATCTCGGGGTTCGTGGTTCAGGAGGAGATACGACAGGACTTTTGTGGGTGACTGTGCATTACTGTATGGTTTTAGTTTTAAGTATTGTTAAGTGTACAAATAGTCCTCTTTTATCATAAAGGTTTTGTTCCTGAAAACTCTTGTTATATGTGAAATTGATCTATGGAAAACTAATTTTCCTGTAAGAAATTATGTATTAAGAGGGATGCATTACTGGCCATGAATTTTGGAAGTACACCCTCAACAAAAACTTCTCAAATGCTATAAGCACTATGTAATCTGAAACCATTCCAAGATGACAAGCCCCATTCTGCTCATTCTCACATCCATCGTGCCCAGGTGTTCGAGAAGTTTTGTTGAGAGTGTACTTGGGGTGATCTTTCATACAGAATCACTTATTCAATAAAAAATCATGAAATACTTACTTACATACAGTACAGTGTATAGTTATCCCACGCTTTATAAATGGGTTAGGTTCCTTGAAAACCATTCATTTGTTAACTTTTGTAATCAGTACAGTATCTAATTAATTTAGTTTATAAATTAAATAAATTGGTTAAAAAAAATTGCCTAACTACTGTAAATTAGTGCCAAACTACTATAATTTAGTGCCTAACTACTGTAATTTAGTATCTAGCCTAACACATTAAAAAATTTGGTACATTACCTTAAAGGTCCTTCATTCAATTAAGTGAGAATAGTTTTTGTATATTGAGAAAGATGTAAGAATAGAAAATGTGTATCAGCAAATTTTTTCATCTTCAGCATTAGTAAAGTGAGGGATACTGTATATAATGAAATATTTTTTTTATAAAAATTAAGGTAACTGAAATTGCAATATAGTACTGTACACAAATTTGTGATAAACAAGGATTATTTATCTGTATTTTTAAGTATTGATGTACTCCTAAATGACCACCCACATTAGAATAAATAGAACTATAATTTGAGTACAGTATATATACATTTCAAGAAATTTGAATAACTGTAGTGTACTACATTCCTGTGAATTAATTGGTGAGTGGTGTACAGTACTGTACAGTATTGTACTCTTTTGGTAAGTGTAACTCATTAAGTGTCAAGTGTGATTATATATGATTAAGTGGCACCTCCTAGACCACCCCCCTCCCCATGGCTATTACTGTATAACAAATTATCTTTTGTGCAGGTTTAACCTGAGTCTCCTAGAAGCTGGTGTTAAGAGAACAAACACAATCTTTGGAGGACGGGACCTGAAAGTGACTAGAGTTGTTTTCCCCAATGGCTCTATTGATCCCTGGCATGCCCTTGGGATTACTTCCGATATCAGCAATGATGCCACTGCCATCTATATAAATGGTAAGTCATTTTGTATTGTATTAAAATCATGTCTTAATTTCCCATGTTTATAGCAAGGTGACATGTTGAATTATCCCTCAGACAGTTCAATTATTTTTACTTAAAGGTAACATCAGTACTCATTAAGATTGCTCAGCATTGTTTTTTATATGGTTACCATGTCTTACAATGTAAATTGAGAGTGAAGAGTGTAGAGCAGTGGTTCCCAAACTGGGGGATGTGAGGTTAGTACGGGGGGGTGCACTACTCAGTCGAGTGTCCATACCTGGAGCTGGCAGACCTCCGCCCCACAAGGGGTCACAGCTCAAGGTTGAAGAAGCAGCAAGTCCAGAAAACTGTGAGGGCGAACTTTTTCAGAGTGAGAATAGTGAACTCTTGAAACAATTTACCGAGTGTGAGCTGTTTCAAGACCAGACTTGACCAGCACTGGAGCAGGTTCATATACATTCAGGAGCCATTACTTGCCAACAGTGTGTAACAGACGTGACCGACCATCCAAGCGGCTAATGAGCCGATCAGTGGTGAAGAGGATAAAAGTAAAAAGATGCGATAAAGCAGATCGTGTTTATCTGTACTGTACTGGCATTCTTTTTCTTTATTATGATAATTTCAATAAAATTTTGTAACATTAATTTACACAAGCGGTAGTCTTGTACTGTATGTCATATTATTTAGTTAAAAAATATACTGTACGGACTAAAATTTTAGCTACAGTATGTGAATTGTTCTTACAATATTCTTATACAATACTGCTTTAGCATTTATTAATTAATTTCTGTTACTAATTTACAAAATTGTGTTCCACCTCAAAAAATTAAAAGCAAAAATAAAGTGAGTTGGTAGTTGCCAGATACCACTGTCTGATTGAAAGTTTCTGGAAATTGGGACATCATTCATTTGGGCGATGTACAGGTTGTACCTCTCTAGTCCGGCATTCTGTGGTCCGGAAACTCCCGTGGTCTGGAACGATTTTAGTTTGCCCATAGAGAAAATTAATTTGAGTCTGGTACTGTACTATCGATGTTTGGCTAAATTTGGCCTTATTTACCCTACTTTTTTGGCAAATTACTACCTGTAATAAAGCAATATCCAAATAAACCAACAAAAATGACACAGATAAAGCTAAATAAAAACTAAAAACAACACAGAAAAGTTCTTATGTTCTACAGCTTTAGCTAGAGTTGAACCTGATGGCTTGGCAACTTCGTCATCTGAGTAAAAACACACACAACAACATTGGCTGTCTTTATGTTTTCAACTTTACCACCACTGGTGGGTAGAATTTTTGTTTTAAATTCAGAAACATTAATTAAAATATATATGAACAGTAAATAAGTGTTGCTTTTATATTCTTATGTAGAGTAATGACGATATGTTTACACATGTGCTCACTTACATACGTGATCTCACTTTTTTTTTTACCATTAATGGTTAGCTACTTCCATTGTTCCATTTATTAACATTAAATAATATTACTTAAAACAACCATATTAAGTTTACTACAGCTACAACCAGGGTCTTATTTTCTTCAGTTTTATATGTAGAACCAATCAGTCACTGGTTTTGTAAACATTAACGAAAACAATACCGTCTCGTCTCCTCGTGTGTTTTAATATTCCACGTATTATTAATGAATTGTATTAATGAATTGTTTTTGCCGTCAAAATTTTAAATTGTGCAGTGTTTCTTTTTTTGTCCAAATAAAAAACGTCAAATTAAAAACTCGCGAAATTTGAGAACCTACTGTACAACATTTAACCCTTCAATATGTCTTCAAAGAGACCATGAAGCAGTGAAAGTGGTGCTAGTGCTTCCAAGTGTATGCACAAGTCACTATCTATCCAGGAAAAGGGTGAATTTCCATGGTCCGGAAATTTCCATGGTCCAGCACTGGTCAGGTCCCGAGGTTGCCGGACTAGAGAGGTAGAACCTGTACATGTTTTGTGAGATAAGTTTTTTTGTGGAAAGGTCTGGTACGTAGTCCACCTTTTACTTTGGACTGGATTCACTTTGCAGAACCTCATCTCAAAATATATCTCCCATACTAAGTGAGGGATGGGTGTATGGTACAGTACTGTACACATATTACATATATGGAATTTTGCAATACTGTACTGTACAGTATTTGGATTCTGTTGGCTTGTGCAAAATATCGATATGGAAAGAATGACATTATGCAATGATGAGCTTAAATTTTGATTCTCAGGACCAAATAAACTAATTAAAAAATTCTGATAACTCTCTGTCTCATTACAAGGAACTGCCCACTGTGCCAATGAGTACCCAGACTCCCCAGACGATCCATCTCAGTTGACAGCTGCCAGGGAGGAGGTATACCAACTCATTACCCAGTGGCTTAATGAGGAATGAAGTGCCACTCATCTTCAATTTTAATTATTGCCACTTAATGGATGTGGTATAGGTTACAAAAACCTAATGTTAACACTAAGTTTTACCTTTGCATTTAATACTTGCAGTTAAGTTTTTGGTAAATGAAAATTTATATTAATGTGAAATTGCACTTTACTAATTGGACTGTATTGTGTTTAAATCTCTTCAGTATTATTCATAATAACCTGGACTATATTGAATTTTAAAGTTTGTTAAGGTTTTTAAATAAAATAAGTTGACTTTACCTGAATTAACTAAACTTTATCTCTACTTAAAATTTATACTCGTACAGTATTTCAGATTTTAGCTGTCCTTCAGTACACCAGCAAATATCATACAAAGTTCAGAAGTTTAATAAACAAATTTATTTATTCAAAAGACAGGTGTTTCATTAATCACTGTTGTACCTATTAAGGCATTCTGAAATTATGGACAACAGTTATTAAATTTCCAGATTTGTTTCATTTTTATTTTTTCAAGAAAACCCTTTCTGAATTAGGAGCATGGAAGCTAGAATAAAAAGCAACTTATTACTCCACTTCAGAGAACATTATGTTACAATAGAGATAACATACATCTAAATGCACTGGCACTGTAGCCAAGATTACATTTGGGAATGAATAAATGATAGAACATTTGCCTTACAAGCTTAGGCATCTCTTGATTTTATTCTTAACTGGAATAGAGAACCGAGTTCCCTTCCCACACACTCAACAATGAAAGGAGTACACATTGAGTGTACTTGTCATAAGTAAACAATCCTTGCCAAAGAGATGGATAAGCCACTAGCTGCTAATGCAAACTAATGGGATTAAACACTTGATTAGGCACCCTACATCATAACAGAATTGGGATTTACATGCATAAAAACTACTGCTCTAAAATCTACAACATGGTTGACAGCTTTCCATTTTCTGTGTCTTAAATGAAGCAGTGTGAAGATTCTGTTTTGGGTATTTGTAAAGGTATTTATACCACTACTGTATATTTATCAATTAAATTTTATTGGTTCGACTCAATCCAATTACAGGTTAACACAGTTGAACCTCTGATCTGACAACCTTGAGTCTTCATCAGAGCTGGATTATAGAAATTTCTGATTCACAGGTTCAAGGAAGTTTATATATGGTATAAGCTATTTTGTGAAAATTTCCTGGAAAACTAGAGTAAAGTACTCGGTTAGCTGATCTTCCCTGCATTCATTAACTACAATATTTAGTGCTTTATTTAATACAGGTAGTACAGTATTGTGATATGCAGCAAGTTTGAGGCCAGAAACAAACCAGATTCAGGAATTTTCTGAAATTGGCCTAAAATATGAAATAAAGTACAGTACAGTATAGAAAATATGTTGAAGGTTAGAGGATGCGGCTACCAGATGACTACAATGAAATCTACTGTACTGTACATACAAGTTTTTTGTTTCTAAAATCATTTTAAATTCTGAAACTATGGGGTATTGACACTAAGGTCATGGGGTCATTTATCCCTTTGTATGTCTCGGGAATACATCCCCAAATTATGAAATATGTTTCCGCAACACTCTGTATATCAACAACACAAAGTATAACTTTCATTGCAGAGACACATATGTAAACCACATGCACTTACAGTCATTCCTTTCTTTTGTCTTGCCTACTCATATTTTGAGTGTTACTTCACATACACAATTTTTGAAAACAAGATCCATAAGTAGCATTTGTTGACTTACAGTCCATTTTCAAATGGGAAGGGAAACAGCAGTAAAAACTGGGGAGCAGTGCTCCCTATGGCAATGGGCATGGCTGTGAGTTACTGCACCAGTGACAATAATAATAATAATAAGGGGTGATGATGGTGATAATAACATTATTAAACCATAGTGTCAGTTTGACTTTATAGTAACACAGACAGAGACTGACAGACACACACACACACACACACACTACAGTACCACAATGAATGTCCCTGTATTGTTGCTGCCTGTACTCACAGTGGAGTGGACAATACAGTATCAAGTTATTTAGGGAAATTAAGAACCAAGCAGACTGTGAAGAGCTGCAGAATGATCTCTTTGCGCTTCAAAAAATAGTCGAAGAAATGGCTGCAAAGACTCAATGTCACGAAGTGTAAGAGGATGTACCTGGGATGCACCAACGGTAAGGAGGCATATCTTATGTCCCATCGGGACGAAGAAACTGCAGTAGCAATAGACTAAATGCGAAAAGGATCTGGTTGTGTATGTTGACAATGAATTGAAGTTCTCGGGCCATTGTGAGAAGAAGGTGAATCAAGCAACTAAATTAGTAGGTCTTATAAGACGGTCGTTCATATATCTAGACGGTCCATCCCTCATAACGATCTTCAAGAGTGAGGTGCTTTCCCGCCTTGAGTACTGTCACCCCATCTGGTCCCCGAGATATGCTAGGGACTGTCGGTTGATTGAAAATGTCCAAAAGAGGGTCACCAGAGTAGTGCCTGTACTTCGGGATGTCAGTTATACAGAGATTAGCTTATACTACAGATGGGCAAAGGGGGACCCAACGTAGGTGTATAAGCATCTCAAAGGGCACTACTCAGTCGAGTGTCCATACCTGGAGCTGGCGGATGCCTGCCCCACAAGGGGTTGAAGAAGCCACAAGGCCAGAAAACTGAGTGAACTTTTTGGGAGTTTGAGTTGTGAACTCTTGGAATAACCTGCCAGAGAGTGTTGTGATGGCACCGAGTGTGAGCTGCTTCAAGCCCAGACTTGACCAGCACTGGAGCAGGTTCAGATACATTCAGGAGCCAGTGCATGCCCAGTACTTGCCACAGTGCGTAACAGAAACATGACTGACTGCCAAAACGGCTAACAGGCCAGTGGCAAAGAGGATAAAAGTAAAGTAAAGAAGATGGAAGGAGAGGAGAGATGTTGAGTAAATGAGAGGAAGAGGAGGATTGATATTGATTTGTGAGTCATTAAGCTGGAAATAGTATCTTGTAAATTGTAGATTATAATGTGTATTTGGCATCTGGCATGTATTGTATGTAGCACATTTAATGCCATTCAATAAAAAAAACCTATATATTTCATATCAATTAGATATTATTGAGGTTTGGATTTTTTTATGTGTGCCCCCCCCCCTTCCCTGTAACGTGTGAGCAACAAACTAAACACTGTAATAAATCTTAAGGTTCCCCAAGTTCAAATTTTAGCACTGGCCCCACCTTAAATTGTCTCAAGCCAACATAATCTATTGAAAATAACCTTAAAACCTCCTGCAGCTCACCGTGTAGGGTCCACTCAAAAACAAACTTGGGTCTCAGACTACTAGTACAGTATTTTACACACTATGCTGGTCAAGCTCATTTTGGTCTATGATTATTTGTGGAGTGTCTATCTACCTATTTGAATATAGGACTCACATATACCATTAGTCTTATAAAAATTTCCCGTATTTTATTGTTTATGGTTAGATCCTGGCTGTTCCACACGTGGCCAAGTCTCTCGCTATCTTTACCTTCATGGAGCAAGTGTTAGTACTGGAGCACCTGGAGAACACCTGTCACGGTCCCTGGCGTCACATGGACATCACAAGGTAGGTAGATAACAGGTAGCCTCACTCCCATAGGATCTACGCTAATGAAAATAAAATGAAATTTTTATTTACATATTTTTGAAGGCTTATGATGGTATTAAAAGTTGTACAATAAATGTATGGTGATATTTAGGTTCGTAATATATGGCGATGACTAGTGAGGGTATTGTTGGCGTAGGAAACAAAGTTATTGTTGATCTAGAATGGGAGGGTATTGTTCTAGGAAGGGTGGATAATGTTCTAGGAAGGGAGGGTATTGTTGGAGGAAGGGAGAGTATTGCTGTTCTAGGAAAGGAGGGTATTGTTGTTATAGCAAGGGAGAATATTGACCTAGGAAGGGAGGGTATTGCTGTTCTTGGAAGGGAGAATATTGACCTAGGAAGGGAGGGTATTGTACTAGGAAGGGAGGGTACTGTACTAGGAAGGGAGGGTATTGTTGGTGTATTAAGGGTAGGGTATTGCTGTTCTTGGAAGGGAGGGTGTAGGGGTATCGAGATATCAATGTTGTTTAGCACTCAGGATGGAAGGAAACTCTAATGTGGTTTTCTTGTATAATATATAAGTTATATGAAGACAGTCTGGTGCTGGAGATGCTGTGTGGTGGGGAGCTGCTCAGTAGAAGACGTTCGGTGAGTAGCGTGTTGAAGGAGGTAGATGTGCAGGAGCTTCGTTTGAGAAGATGTTGCCTGTTGCTGGCCTCCTGGTTGAATAAATGTAACAGCTAGGAGCTTGCTGGAGGAGATGTTGCTTGTTCAGGAAAATGGGCAGAATGAGAGTTGGTTGGTGAGGAAGCTCAGAAGGACAGCTGGTGGGTCGCCATGCTCGCTGGCGGGAGCGAGGACCGCCAGGCAGGCGAGGAGATGCGAGGGGCTGCCAGGCAGCGGCGGAGGAGGAGGTGTTGCTTGTTCAAGAAGATTGGTCAGACTGAATCTCAAGGGAGAGACAGAGCTTATATACCCAGCAGCCTCTATGAGTCATGTTGGGAAAACCCGAGAAGTCGCCGGCCTTTTGGCTCGGTTGCTAGGATACGGCGGGCATTGGAATGCGGATACGCTTGGTTGTTAGGGAAGACGGTAGCAGGTGGTGTGCAGCTACGCAGTTTGTAGGGGAGACGTCCACTACAATACTCCCCCTTCCCTCCAGGCAGTGGAGGAGACTTGTTGATTGTAGAGTTGCTTAGCACATGTGAGGCAGACCGGGCGGTGCATGCCTCATGTGAGACAACGGCGATGGCGTGATGAGCCGATCGCTGAAATACAACTGTCTAGATACACACTATCTGTGGGAGAAGGGAGAAAAAGGGTGTGTGGAGGCGATGAATGGTGTGCTTCCCTCACGACAGGTACAGGGTCGTCAGATGCGCCTGCTGGGGTGTGTGTGGGCCTGGGTCAGGAGCAGGGGCTGCGTCAGCAGAAGCGGATTAGGGCTCGTGACAGCAGCTGGGTCCACGACAGCAGCAGGGTGCAGGACATTAGCAGGGAGTACCTGAGGGAGAAAAGAGGGGTGTGGAGGCGATGGATGTTGTGTGCTTCCCTCACGGCAGGTACTGCTGGGCCGGGGTCGGCGTCTGAGGCAGGACGGGTGTGCTGGGATCGTCAGAATGTGGTGCGTGGGGCAGGGAGAGGAGCCGGTGTCTGCTTGAAGACTGGGAGCGTGATCAGTGTCTCCTCCATCCTGTGTGAGTGCTAATCTCCGGGAGTCACCATTGTAGGGGTATCGAGATATCAATGTTGTCTAGCACTCAGGATGGAAGGAAACTCTAATGTGGTTTTCTTGTATAATATATAAGTTATATGAAGACAGTCTGGTGCTGGAGATGCCGTGTGGTGGGGAGCTGCTCAGTAGAAGACGTTCGGTGAGTAGCGTGTTGAAGGAGGTAGATGTGCAGGAGCTTCGTTAGAGA